TCTCCCATCAACCTCAGCTTATAGGTTCCTAGAGTTCTTTATCTACAATCTAACGGTTTTTCAAGGTCTTTCTGCAAACCAGCTACAAAAGCTTCACTACTACTTGGTCTGGTTTATTTACAAAAATGCCCACACCTTTATGGTCCTAATTTTTCTTGATGTGAGACTTCAGGGGACATTTTAGATGTAATCAATAGCATTTTACATATATGTACTTTAATTTAAAACACTGTGGTAAGTACTTGATGTCAGACAGTATTATTCAGGCAAAGTGCAATGCCCACATTTCTAGAACAGAAAAGCATTTATTATGGAAATTTGAGTGAAAAGGCCAATTCTTCATTTTAATAGTGTATCCAGAATAGCAACTGATTTATTTTATATTTAATATGTCATTATTTTAACCACAAATGTTTGATAGAAAACTTCGGTTGAAAGGGAAAGGGAAGATGTCTGTCCTGTTTTTAATTATTTATATAATTTATCAATAGTATATGCTTGTAATGCATATTAGTTACATTCACCTTGGGGAACTGACACATATACAGAGCATTTTGATCATTTTTACTCCTCCTTTCCTGTGCTCACTTTTGTATCTCCCACTGTCCCAGGTCCCCTTTCCACTCTCTCTCCCTGTTTCCTACCATCTCTCTTTAGTTTTCCTCATTTGGTTAGTTACTCTTGATAATTTCTTACTGGTACTGCTTAGACTAAATGATTTTAGCTATTAACAACTATTGTCTGCCTTCTTTTGTCATTTGTGCTTCATTTTAATATGCTACCTTCATCAGAAGGGGTTTTCTTACTTCTCTAATTATTTTCTCCACCTAGCAGTTCTATTTCCATCTGTAAGATGCCTTTCAAAAATTCCATTCGATAACTATTGCTTACGAAATGCTCGTTATAGGTTAGAAATTAGTGAATTTGTTCCAGAATAACTCAATACTAAAACCCTTTATCCAAAGTTCTGAGAAGTGTGAACTCTCAGTTCAAGTGCATTCATCTGTTTTACAGCATGTTTTTAGCCTCATAAACGTAAGGTTATGACTCATTCCATATTCAGCTGCATTCTTCCCCTATCATGTGTATTCTAGGGCACATTAAAACACCTAAGTTTTTCTTCAGGTAGTGAATTAAAAATAATTTCAGATTCCAAATTAGGAAACGAGAAAAATTCAGTTGGAAAGGTTTTCTTTGGTTCATCAAGAATTGAACATTGTCTGATTATTTTTTATTATATCTTACCGGGCATCCTATTGAATAACACGAGGAAAACACTGGGTGGGTCTTATGTCATTCATCTTGGAAAGATTTTCCTCCACTTTAGTATAAAAGGCACAAAACTTCCTTAATCACCAACATAGACCAGGGTTTGAAATACTATTATCTCTATTTCTCAAACATACCCATGGGCATTTAAGCAATTCTTGCTTCATAAAAACTGCACTGGATAAGCCAAGGGCATTGGCTTACAACAATGAAGTTTTTTTTATAACCCCTCCAAACTTGAAGGGAGATTTTTTTGAAGAAAAGAAAAACAAACAATAAAAACAATCGTGGAAATTTTCAAAATAACATTGTAGGAGAGTAACAATGGTTAGTACATTGCAAAGTGCTACCTTCAAAGTAGTTGCTCATATTACAAGATATAGATATGAAAAATTGATCAAACAATATAGGCATAAAACTTGAAAGAGGGATATTAAAGTACATGCTCTCTCTCTCTCTGCAGTCTGGTATCTGCATCATATGAGTTCTACCATTTATACCTTATTTCTCTTCCTAGAGCACTTTAACAGTGTATCAATATTTGCTTTCTTAAAACAACAGAAGTATGTTCCCTGGCATTACTGGAACCTAGGTATTTTAAATAAAGCTTTCACTACTTCATGCTTCTTTACGACTCTGGATATAATCTGGCCAGGTCTACCTTTAGCTTTGGGCAGTGACCCTCAGTCTTTGGAAATCCTTCCAATGCACTGGTCCATTCCACTAATGCTGTCATTATCTGATGTTTTCCTTTTCTTAAAAATACACATTAGATTGGATTGGAATCTCTCCCTAATCTTTTTTTATATAATTAAATCTGTAAAAACTTTATTTTTATCTGTGCATGGTTATGAGTGCCTATAACTTCAGCAGTCTGTGAGGCTGAGGCAGGAGCATCACAGATTTGAGCACAGTCTGAAAAACTTAAAGACATAGTGAGAAACAGTCTCAAAAGAAAAACAAAAACTAAAAAATCTGAGGGATGTAGCTCATTATTTAATTTGCACTGCCACAACAAAGATGATTTTGTTTCTTTTTTTCAAAGATGCTATTTTTAAATGAGATGACATTTACAAGTTGCAATGGTTGATACACTGTGTCAATTTGAGAAGTTCAGAAGCTCAACTAAGTGACTGAGCAGTTCTACATCCTAGGGTGTGGAGGACATAACCTTGGGCAGCTATTTACCCACTCTAAGATGTTATAATTGCTGATTCATTGTGCCAATTTGAGAAGTTTAGACATTTGACTAAATGACTAAATGACACAGCAGTTCTACATCCTGGGGTATAGAGGGCCCACCCTAGTGCAGATAGCCTACTTACAATATAAGGGAGGAAAAGAGGCTTCTTCGCCCTTTTTTCTCTTGTTGCTTTTGCTATCTTCCACCAGCAAGAACTGTTGACCCGGAGCCTCAGCACCCTGCTTTGGAACCAGCTGATTATGGACTGAAACCTCTACAAACTGTGAGCTAAATAAACCTTTCCTTCCTGAATTTTGGGCATTGGGTATTTTGTCTCGCAATGAGAGAAAGTAACTAACACACAAGTGTTGAATCTATGTTCCACCACTGGGATAAGGAGCTAGCTGGGATCATAAATTCAGCACCAATAAAAAATTAGAGGGATAGAATTTAAGAAGGGATATGCTTTCATTATGAGGAGGATATGCAAAAGACAGAAACTATCCTGGAGACTGAGGGCAGGAGGTCTGGATGGATAGGCCTCTGTCCCAAGCTTCTTTTATTAGGTGCTAGGAACCCCTTATCCTAGGTGATTAAGTGTAAGTATATGTTTTTATTTACTAAATAAGAGTTTTATTTTAGGTAGCTCCCTCCCGCTTTGTCTCCTTTGCACTTTATTAGAGGTTGGGAGGGGCAGCTATCTTAGTTTCCAGCACCTGGCTTCCTCCATTCTTTGCCTATGAGCTCTCCCTCTCTTCTTTGATGTAAGCCCTTATGCTACTTGTGCTATTAGATGCCTTTCCTTTTAATTGCTTCTAAAGAAATCCCTTCAGTAAAGTTTTAAATATTTCTAGTCAGGGTTAGCCAGAAAACTTAATGAGGCCCTTATTCTATTCTTTCCCTACCTATAGACTCTTGTCCCTACATAAGTATGAGATTTCAGACTTTAACATAATTTTTTGTCGGGGGGAGGGGTTTCCGGTACCAGGAATCAAACTCACGACCTTGTGCTTGCCAGGCAGGCGCTGTGCTGCTGAGCTAAATCTCCAGCCTTCAACATAATTTTTAAGGAGACATATTTCAGTTGATAACAATAGCCAGGGCAAAATTAGTGAAAATAGCTTGAGTATGGGGAGTCATAAATTTATGTGGCTATCTCAGCTATACTTATATGTATGGGTGTGTACTTTTATTTTAAAATCTTAATTATAAGTTGCATTTCATCAAAAGACTCACTGTATCATGTAATTATCAAGTAATTAATATTATTGAAATCTTATACATTCATTTACCCACAAATTTTTTTGAATCTCGTGTATTTTATACTTATAGCACATCTGTATTTGGACTTGTTATAGTTCAAGGGTTCATGTTAAATGGAAAAAAATCTACTAAATTGGAAAATGTTTTTCTTAAAATTTTGAAGCTCTATATTTTAAAGATATGTTCATGATAATTAAGGAGAAAATAAAGTTTCCTTTAGCCCTCTTATCTTCCTCCTTCATCATTTTACCTATTATCTACCTACCACAATTTAGAAGCCAATATTGATATATCAATGTTAAATAAATTTTAAGCTTACATTAGGGTTTAATAGTTTTGCTGAATATTATCTAGATTTTGATAAATGCAAAGTGGCATGTCTTTAACCATTACAGTATAAAATACTCCCCTGAGTTCTAGGCATTAAAGGCCACCATGTGTGACACTTACCCATAATATCTTGAGTAGCTGGAAGTACAGAAGAACTTTCCAGTTGTGCAAATTTTCTTTAGGGTACATAAGGAGCATGATTTCCCACATAACTCCATTTATTGTTAAAATATAAATAATACTGGAATCCCAAGTTAAAGTTCTAAAAATGGACCATCAATCATCAGCATATAATAAACGCTGAAATTCGCATATTTGAAGAACCAAGCAGTGGAAAAGAGATCAAAACACCAATCCCCAAAATGATTGAAAAATGCATGTTCTTCAAACATGTAATAATAAAATAAAATTCAGAATGTCAGAAATGTCACTTCTGCATTTCCTTTTTTTTACGGTACCAGGAATCGAACTCAGTTCCTTGCACTTGCCAGGCAGGCAGTGTGCTGCTGAGCTATATCCCCGGCCCTGCATTAACTTTTGAGTTACTAATTTGAAATTTCTTGATTTAGCATTATTACTGGTTCCCCGAGCCATGAGCTTCTCACATGGCTGGAAGCTTCAGTGCACATTACTAGTACAGGCAAGCGCAGTCCCTTACAGAGAATGTTCTGTAGCTGCCCTAAAACCTGGATTTGTAAACACTAGAACAACCTGTCTTTAACTATAAAATGCATAATGCTCAAAAGTTCTTGACTGAGTATGGATCTTTTCAGACTACTTCAACAAACAACTAGCATTGAATTCTCTGTTGGACAATTTGCATCATCTTACATGACATCTGTACAAATGGCCCATTGTACTATGTTTGAGATGAACGCGGCCCAAGAGGAGAAGGCCACTGGGAAATTGCTATCAGTGGAATTGGGTGAAATCATGGTGCCTAAAGGTTTGAATGATGACCATCAAACCTTTTCCAATTTGTGTTTTTCCAGTTGGAGCCAAACCTCAGGTGCAGAGCTCCAAGGTAAAAGTGGTAAATCCTTCTTGGGGGATGGAGGAAGGTTAGTTGAAAGAAGACAGTGTCATTAAATCCTCCACTGCAATACCAACAACACACACATAAGTACACGTGTGCCATCTGCATTTACCTGACTGATATTGCAAGTTCCATCTTCACTCAGACTTAAGCCTTTGCAGACATTTCTAAAATGTTCCCTTTGGTTATAATTTTCTTTCTCCTGCAGCTTCCTCTCTCAGTGTGTAACTCTGCTAATGAAGACTGCCTTTTCACAAGGGGTGCCAGAGTGCGCAAAGATGGAGATGTGGTGATTGGGGGTTTTTTCTGCCTTTGTACTGGTTTATACTTGACTGGTACTATTGATATACAGCCTAGCAAGGACTTCATTACCCTTGTGTAAGTGTCACGTTATTTGCTCATTTTCTGCTTGATCATCACAATGTATAATGCCTAGGAAGTTTGTTGTGGATAGATCAATACTCTCTATACCCCTATCTTGTCCTTTCCATTTATACTTACACAGAACTGTCTATAACGTATTTGTGTATCTCCTGTTCTCTTTTTTACCTTTTGAAAGTGGGAAGAGAGACTTCTTTTTTCATGTTTTGAACTTCTTTTCAAGATTAGAACTAGAAGGCGACATCACATTGTGCATTATTGTATTGCACATGGCCCTCCTTATACCCTAGCTATCCAGGTAGGATATTAAGTGATGTTCATTAGAAACACAATAAAAACCATTGTATTTAGTTCAGTGCTCAGAATCTGAAGCAAACTGTCCTTTGAAAAAGGCCTGATGAGGTTTCTTTTATTATGACTGAAATTCCCAAGTCTCCATAGGGTGGCCACTGCTATTTGTACCACATCTGCTTTGACAGATGACTTAATGTAGTTATTTAGTTACATGTTCAAGTATCTGTGTATTATGCTTTTATGTTAGGGATGTTCCAGGCCTCCAGGAGCTGAAGCAAGGAAACTTCCATGTGGCCACAGGAACAAGACATCAGTATCCTGTGAAGTTTTTACCTTCCAGTTTGATCCAGCTTCACATACACAACATTCGTTTTCAGATATTACATCAATTCTATAACTGAAGATATAATAAACAATTTTTGCACAGTTTCAGAGGCTAGCTTATGACTTACACTTTTGTGAGAAAAAGGGATGTTACTAAAAAGAGATTGGGGGCCGGGGATATAGCTCAGCGGCACAGTGCCTGCCTGGCAAATGCAAGGTCCTGAGTTTGATTCTTGGTATTCACAAAATAAAATAAAATACGATAAAATAAATTTTAAAAGATTGCTTTTATCTTTTGTCAGATGTTACAACCACAGGTGGAACTTGTGGTAGCTCCTGGATTTAGGTCAGGAATGGCAGTTCTAAAATTTGAGGCCTGTTCCTATCATAAAAGGAGTTTGCACCTATCTCATATTCTTTATAACGCTTATAATGCTGTTTTATAATTGTAATACATAATTGCTTATGTACCTGCTCTTGGATGCTTTCCCCACATTTACATATTTTTGAGACAAACTGCAGCTGGATTGTCTAGGTCGGCAGCCATCTCCCAGACTTCAGCAGTCCTCCCTCCTCAGTTTTCGTGTTAGTAGTGGGTACAGATATGTGCTAATATATCGAGCATTTTTCCCCAAAATTCTCCAAACTGTGCTCGATGTTGTCAGTTTGTTTAATATACAAAGTTTTATTCTGATGGATGCTGTCAGTTTTTGATTCTTAGACAGTGATAGATCTGCACGATTATTTGTAGATGAGTCAGGGAAGCCTGTTCTAAATTTCCTAAAAATGGTTAAAGAAGAAATTATTCAAAGCATTTGTTTAAAATGGTAAGAAAGCTTTTATGTAAGCAGGCTGTAACCATCAGTATGGGAACCATTAGAATACACTTTTGCATTGGAGGTGAGGTATTGATTTGTATTCTAAATATGGCTAATAGACTAATGAGTGTTTACAGCTACAGAGCAGAAAGAATCAAAGTCACTGGATGGGACATAACTAAGACACACAAAGCAGTTAATGAGGAATTCTGGCAAAACCATCCCCAAAAGACTATAGCTGGAGGCAGCACATTTTGAACGCACATCATCAGGGGACACTACAGGATGAACAGATCAGATACTGAGTGTGCTCAGATTTCAAAGGTGCTGGAAGAACTTTCTCTTCTGTAGGGAGAGGATAGGTTTACTGCTCTTCATCTGTCCTCTGCTGTCCTCTCTCACCTCTCAGGGAACCCATCAATGCTGGCAGTTGACCTTTGTCCAGATCTTTCCATTCTAAACCATGTCTGTGACTAAAAAGAATGTCTTTGCAATTTCAGATTTTCTTGTCCATGATGACTTATTCACTAGGAAAGAAAACAGCTTTTAGAGGATCGTGGAAATGCTTTACTTTCTCTTAAATCCAGAAGGAAAAAAAAAAAAAAAAACTTTAAGAAAAGTAAAAAATAAGTTTAATTAATTTCTCTCTTCTACAGCCATATTATATTGCAGAAATTAATTATAATATTTGAAAAATGATGTGGCGCATGTATGCGTAAAATCCAATGACCACAATAATTATATGGTGGTTTTTATAATATCTTGGATATATTTGCACATAAATATCAATGCATTACCATAGTAAGAATATGTATCTTACATATCCTATTTTTCTCACATGACACAATATATATGCTTCTATATACATCAAAATATTATTGATAATTCTTTTATTAATATATTACATATTGTCAGACTAACAATTTTCCAGTTACCAGTTTTGGAGTACTCCAAATTTTCTAGTTAGTGTCTATTTTTATGATTTTAGGTAGGCAAATAATTGCCCTTCAATGGATGATTGATTATAGTAGCTAAATGTGTGCTCTCTGACTGAAACCAGTGAAACCTGAAACAAAATCGTTATGTTCAAAGCTATTCTTCCACCTTTATGTAAAAAATGGACTGCCTTGCTGTGTAAAAAGGGATCTTGTTGCTATATTTATATTCTGCTATTAAAGATTAGACTGAATGTTTTTATGTAGTATCTTATGAACATTTCACTGGATTATTTGCCTTTTAATATTTTTTAAAGTTACAATAAACATTTTCACTTTTGGAAATGTGTTAGAAATTTAGTAAAAGGGTATTTTGTTTCAAGTTATATTTAAAATATAATATTGGGATTTGTTTGCATTAAATATGTTTGATATAATAGACTTAAGGGGGAATGAACCTTTATATAGACAAATACAATCATCTTTTTTCTTTTTCTTTCTTCCTTTAAATCATACATTATAATCTACATTTTTATAAACACATCTGTGGAAATTATAGTACTTTTTTTTAGAAATAGATACTTTGAAATTTTTATATTAAATAAGAGTGTAAGTCAATTCATATCTGTCATGATAGTTTAATTTCATCATTAATGAAATAACTTAATCTTCTAAATTTCAATGCCAAATTTATGATAAAAGCAATATTTTTTTTATACATACAAGTTATTACTCTTTTTTCTTATGCTGCCTCTTGGTGTATCTATATCATCCACAGTCATTCCAAGTCTACCTAAAATATATATGTTTACTAGTAAATTATTTTTCCTCTAAAATAACAATGACTAATTATTCTGAACTATTTTCATTAACTTCAAAGGCTAGTTGGGTTTCAGAAAAAGCTTTAATTTTTACCATTTCCATAAAGTCCTCTTTCAATTTTCAGTTAGGCCAGTGTGAACTCTGATAAAACTTTTAGTAAATATTAAAATCTGTTTAATATTATTTTAATGGTTTTATGTCCCTTGAAAGAATTTTATGGTTTTGTTCTAGGTTCCAGTAAAAGTTTTCTTATCTTGGTTGTATGTATATTCCCCATAATGCTTTATGTTATTGATTTTATGTTGCTCATAAATCTGCTTCAGAATTTTTCTTGGGTTTGTGAAGTGAACAATATGTTATGACATTATAATAAATGTTTCTTCCTTTAATATTTTTCCTATTTTACTGAATATTGACTTTATACTTAGAAACTACAAGACAATAATGAACAATTCTAGAGGTTTGAAATCTATCTTATTGGAAAGGCTCCTGATGTACAGCTCCCCTCAATACCTTCATCTCTTGACATCCAAAAGGAATCACAGTGCATCATTAGTGTCATTTATAGTTTTCTTGCCATCAGACTTAAGTGGGGATGAAAGCAGTAATTACCAATGCAATGTATCCCTTAGACTGTAGGTCATCTATTTATCTTCTCTACCCGCATTGTTTGTGAGTCATTTCTTTTTAATTTAAAGGAGAGTTAAATTTTGATTTGAAAGAGTTCCTGTGTTAGTTTTTTCCCTTAATTTCATATTTAATGGACAATGTTTCATATTTAACTCTACATGGTTATGAAATGCAATAGGAAGTTCTGATTAAATTTAAATTTTCAAATAGTTAAATCTATCTAGAGAACATTTATTTTTGTACCAAATGTATGTAAAAAGAGATTTTATTTCATTATATTCAAAAGTATAATGTTAAGGAATATTTTTCTCTGTACTAATATTATTCAGTCAGAAATAAGTATTAATATCAAGTGCTGTATGTATTTAAATTAAAATGTTATTTTTCTTCTTGCAGAAAAGTGACAATTTTTATGGGTTTTTTTTTGGAAAAGTGACAATTTTTGAAAAACAAATATTTAATGCATACTTCTGGTGATTCTATTTTAAAAATTTTTTTGTATTTATAAGAAACTCATGTTAACCTCATAAAAATGACATTTATTTTCTATGTTTTATTTTACTTTAGAATTCCCTTGTAGAGTGAATATCTACTCATAAGTTCTAGAAACTAGTCTGCAAATACATTCAGGTTCACTGTTTACTGGAAATTTTATTTCCTATAATCCTTAAAATTATGTGGAAATATTTGTACAAATTCACCTTTATTTTCATTTCAGTCTCTTTGAGTAATGATTTTTTTTCAAAATTCAGTACGTCTTTTATAAAGATCAATGTGATGGATGAAAAATTGGCTAGATTAATTTTTCAAGAGCTCTTTCTCTTGTCTAAAGTTGGTAATGTTCTTTTTTTCTTTAAAATTGTTTCTCTTTATCAGGTTTTTCTGTATGAAACTTATTTTATTGCTCTTTCCATAGAAATATATCTGGTAATTATTTTCCTTTAGAGTTACTTTATATGTGTTTTATACTATTGCTCTGTAACATCTAGTCTCTAACCCTGAATTATTTGAGATGTATGTTGCTTTTTCCCTTTGAAGTGAATTACTGCAAATGTTCATATTCTTCCTTGTAATTTACTTCTCAAGGAACATGTTTATGCTTCACTGGCACATTTGGTTAGCATGTGGTACTTATATAGGAAACTGTTTACATATTTTCTGTCAGAACCTACTTTTTTCATACATTTTGCTCCCTATCTATGTGACTCTTAGCTTCTACTTTCTAATCATTGCTTTAATCTCCTTTATGATCTAAATGTAATTAATCATAGTAACTATTAATGTATACATTGTCTCATGTGTTTACTACATTTGATTGGTAAATTTCTCTGTGTGTGTGTGTGTGTGTGTGTGTGTGTGTGTGTGTGTGTGTATGACTTAACAAACCGGGTTTCAAATTTGCCTTATCTAATATGTCACTGACTGTATTTCTGTGGCTGAACAAAATGTCTCTTTTGGACATTTCAGAAACAAATTATAATTAAGAACTTGCTTGGTTGTCAAAGATCAGACCCACTTTGCACCGTATTAATAAGTTTTCTTTATTTTTAAGGTAAAAGCTTTGAAATTTATAAGTAGAAAATCAGACAACCATGTGTGAGATATGTAAATATGTGATTCAACATACACAGAAGAATATAATTGTTTCGTTGACAAACTAAGAATTTTTTGATACTGATCTTAAAATGGTGTTCAGGTCTGTTACTCTGTACTGTAAAAATTTTAACACATGATGCTATACTGTTATCCACAGGTTTCTCAGATACTAGTAATCTTTGGATTCCTTAATACTTTATGGCTGAGATACGTTCTTAAAGATGTAATAACAATGGCTGTGCCTTTATGAACCTGTTTTTAGTTTTAAGGGAGCAGCTATTAGATCATAATTTAAAGTCTTGTTATATTGACTCCCCAATGTTAGATAAAACTATTAATATGCTCTCATTTGTTCCTCTCCAAATCCAGATTACTTTAGGCATTTAAACTATTTCATCGTTATACTTTTAAAATTTCTATTCTGCATTTCAGGTAGTTTGTTTTTAGTATTTTAAGTCTACATTAATGCGGCAATTTTAGACAATTGTTTTACATTATTCTGTTTACATTTATTTAAAATGTCATACCATTTTGCTAAAATGTCAAACTTTACCACGAATCATAATTTCCTCCATATAATTCTTTCAGTATCTTCTGGGGGGTTATTTAAATAGTGAAATTGCTGTAATCCACACTTGATTTCTATATTTGGGTAGGTGGGAGTGGGTGCCAGAGTACTAGCACCTCAATATGGTATTGGGAAAATCTCTACCTAATACTGATTTTTCCTTTTTTATTTTCCAATTGTGATAAATGTAGAACAGTTTGAAGGCCATCCCTTTTTTCTCAATTCTAATACAACTGCATGCTCATGTATTTTATTTGAAAATTGATTTGCTTTTCAACTCAAATTAAGTATATTAAATGAGGGAAATCAAATGGAGATTTAAAATATGAAAAATTTTTTTGAATAATTTCCCCAAAGAAGCAAGAAGATATTCTGTAAAGCATTTTAGTTTCATTTCTGTGTTTGTACAGTGTAAGAGCAATTGCCAAGGACAAATGAAATAAAATATAAACACTTGTGAAAATTTAAAGTAAATCAAATACAAAAGACAGTAGTAGTCCCACAATGAAAGTATTTGCTTTGCGTTATGATGTACTGAGAGAAAATACTTGAGAGACTCTCAAATTATCTTGGAGTCATAGAAAAGAAAGACAATAAGCATGATATCAATTTACATAACTGAAGCAGAAGCTAATATATTTCTCCAGAAGAAAAGACCCAAAACAAATACTTGATGTTCACCTTACATTAATATGATGTAAGAATTAGTTTACGACATAAGAAAAACTAACACTTTATCATTGTCAGCAATACAAAAAAAAATTAAAGAGAGCCATGGATTTAGATACTTATTTTTCAATTATCAAATATACTTACTTCAGAATATAAAGCAACTATAAGCAATACTTATCATTAACAAACAATACTTATGAATATAAAATGAAACTACAACAAATTAAAATTTTAAAACTTGGCAAAATAAAGGTTTTAGAAAATAACCTTGAAGATTTATGTAGATTAATTCTTCTTAGATGGGTTATATTGGAGAATAGACAATGATCAACTCAATTTTAGTCTGAAGGAAACAGAATCGGGCATACGCACACAAAAAAAACCAAGAAAATAAGGAAACATTAGATAGAGAACTAAGAGGACGGAATAAGTGCAAAAAATATACTGAAACAAAAGCAAGTGAGTCATGAGAGACACCTGACTGTTGAAGAGCTCATGAATTACTAAGTAGATGAGAAAATAGTTCTAGTTTTGGTAATGTTATTTAGTTTTACCATATATTGCAAAATATAATTGTGTACTGTAACTCTCACCCGAGTAGAGGAAATATAGCGAAATAACAGAAATAGGCACACACCTATACATGAAAGAAAACCTAGAAAATAAACTAGAAGTTACCTGACAATGAAAAGTACAACATTCATTGTTTGAACAAAGCCAGTAAATGTATTATCACAACAATTTAAGTAGAATAAACCCTTCACTTAAGTATAGGCTAAAATTTTGGAGTAACTTTAGTTATTTCCCACTTTGTAAGAAACAAGTATAAACTAAAATAAGTGTGGAGAAATGCAAACACATCCTGCAATAACTATAAAGATACTATTACGTCAATACCAATAAGAATCAATATATGGTATCTTTGTTACTTTCAGAAATTTGGATAAAGGAAAAGATGTGATTAAAAACAAAAAAAATGTATTCTTCATTATTCTTCATCCATGATGGTAAGGAGCCTCAAATAATCACAAAATATTGTGAGATTATATATTGTAATATATTAAGATAATGTAGACTCAAAAATAAAAAGAAGAAATTGTTATGATGAGAAGGAGAAGGAAGAAGAAAGTTAAAGGAAGGAGAAAAAACACAAATAAGAAAAGATATGGAAATAGAGAAATTTCAACAGTGCTGTCTGATAGAAAAATAACTGCATTAGTAGAATATTAAATTTGTACATCTACTTAGTGGACACATATAGACACGCATACCTAACCTTTCAAGAACACATATTTTTGCCTAGGGATGAAACTGAGATTAACACACACACAAAGCACTTGGGTGTCCTTGGGTTCAGTTTGGAGAGGGGCAAATATAAAAAGAATACATACGTTTCTCAACCAAACATGGAGTACCAATCAGATGTGAACATGAACTCGGCTTTATTCAAGCTTCAAGGTGTAAGAAAATTAAAACATGAAGTTACATGTTAGGCAATCAAATTGCAAGAACTTGTCACTAGATGAAAGAGTCCTTAAAGACTGTCTGTTAATGTTTTCCTCTGTTTATTTTTAAAATTAAAAAAAAGGAAAAGAAAGACTCCTTCCAAAATGGTAAAAACAGAAGGGGGGGGATAGAAAGTGTTTAAAATACGCCCTGCTATAAGGTGTGAATACTTACACTGAAATTATTTTTATGTTTTCAAAGTGAAAAAAGTTATGAATTTGAAAGTTTATACAATTTGTCTGTTTCCTACGAGTTCCACTCCAGACAATACTTTGTTCATCTTCCAAATATCCTTGCCTTTTCAAGATCTTCCCTTTTTCATCTTTGGTTTTATGAGACAGGGCCTCGCTCTACAGTGCAGGCTGGCCTTGAGCTCACTATGTAGCTCAGGCTGGCCTCAAACGAGGTGAGTCCCCTGCCTCAGTCTCTGAATTACAGGCATGTGCCACCACACTTGATTAGATCTCTCCTTTTAAGAAGCTCTGAAGTTGATCTAAATTTCGTGTGTCTTGGTGCTGATAGATGTATAATTTTCACAGGGCAAAGCCTTTCACAGGTTACTTAATTCACAGTGTTTTGCTGTAGCATAATCATCCCACAGGTGTCAAAGTTTTGTACTTGCTTCAGACCCTTCATTTACCATTAGTCTTCATTTACCTTCACAGATATTTTGACTTCGGGTGAACAGCATTTATGTAATATGAAGCATTTAATGTTGTGTTCCTATGTGGGATTATTTTAGTTCTTGATACAAAGAAACATTTCCAGTATCCATCCAAAATGTAATCTACTTCTCCATTCCTCACACTTTACATTTCAAAGGGGAATAATTTCCTGGATGCATGCAGGAGTTAGTAGGGGCTTCAAGAGCCTAAGTTATGTTCTTTTCTTTAGTTATAAATTCTAAGACTTTAAGGAAGTGAGCACTTTTAAAAGCAGATTAAATTTCCTGGGTATTCACCTTCACTCAGACTTCTATATTAACATATACCACAAACTGTGTGTCTAAAACAAGTATTTACATTTCACAACTGTGGAGCTGAGTTGCAGGAAGCATCTTAGTTTATTAGTGGAAGTCATGTTAAACAGTTTTCACATGACAGGATGAAGCAAATTTTATTCTCTTGTAAAGATACTAATCATATTCATAAGAAATTCATTTTAATGACAACAGTAATACTAATTACCTACCAACAATCAATCTCCTAAAGCCATCATATTCAGGTTTAGGGAATTAGCATATCAATTTGGGGGAAGGACACAAGCATTCAGGTTTTAAATGTATGGATTGGAAAATAATTATGGATTGAATCATTTCTTTGTATTCAGGCTTATGCCCAACAGTTATCAGAATGTTCTAGCCTTAATTTTTGCCATTGAAGAGATCAACTGGAGTATTCAGCTTTTACCCAACATATCTCTCGGATATGAGTTTCATAACTTCCTTTATAGTCATTGGAGGATATTGGAAAGTTTCCTCATTTTGCAAACAGGACAGGACGGGATCCCTAACTACACGTGTGGGAGAGAAACCAAGTCTGTCGCATTATTAACAGGAACATCATGGGCAACTTCTGCTCAAATTGGAGGACTATTGGAACTGTATAAATTTCCACAGGTAAGGGTACTTGGGATGAGAAGAGATGAAATTATATCCACTTTGGTGCCCTTTTCAGGTTCCTAAAGATGGCGAAAGGGGAAGACTGGGTTTATGCCTTTCTAAAAGTATATAACCGCAAAGGATATGACACAGAAATGGGTGGGTTACCCAAAGTTCTTTTGGCCAAAGAGTGGGATAACAGGAGAAAACAAAGAGGTTTCCTGCAAATCAGAGTCTGTTCAGATATTTTCAAGAGGAAAGGACTGAGGGAGTGAGATACTTAATTACCAGTGTGAGGAATGTGTATCTCATTCTTTTTTTTTTTTGTACCAGAAAATGAACTCAAGACCCTGTGCTTGCCAGGCAGGTGCTGCACCTTTGAGCTGTATCCCTGGTCCCGAGTATCTCATTCTACCTCTTGCAACTGTCACTTAATATCCTTGCAATGCAAGGTTGTGCTTTATGTCAACTCTTCACGTTTCTTCCAATTCTCTTTTCCTTTTAGATTACTTTTGGCTCTTTTGATCCTATGTTGAGTGAAAATAGACAGTTTCCTTCTCTCTACCAGATGGCCCCCAAGGACACATCTCTTGCCATTAGAATGGTCTCCTTGATCCTTCATTTCAGCTGGAACTGGGTGGGGCTGGTCATCACAGAAGGTCAGAATGGCCTCAAGTTTCTCTCAGATATGAGAGCAGAGATGGACAGAAATGGAGTTTGTGTAGCATTTGTGAAAATGATCTCAACTTCTCTTGTGTCCTATCTCTCAACAACAAAGCTGCATGATTTTCTGACCAGAGAAACATCACCAGTAAATGTAGTTATCATTTACTATGATACGGATAGTCTAAATGATGTAAATTATTGTATAGGACTACATTTAGTGACATGGAGAGTCTGGATCACAAACTCACAGTGGCATGCTGATATCACTGGAAAAAATTTCATACTTGACTCATTCCATGGGACTTTCATTTTTTCATACCATCATGAGGAGATTTCTGGTTTTAAAAATTTTATCCAGACAGCTATCCCCTCCAAATATCCAGAAGATCCTTTCCTTGCTCTGTATTGGTTCCAGAATTTTCATTGCTCGTTGTCTGAGTCTACCTGTACATTAAAGAACTGTACACCTAATGCGTCTTTGGCCTGGTTACCTGGAAATCATTTCGACATGGACATGAGTGATGGGAGTTACAATATATACAACGCTGTGTATGCTGTGGCACACGCCCTGCATGAGATGTTTTTTCAACAAGTGCAAGTGCAGTCAACATCAAAGGGAGGATGGACAGTGCTTTCCCTATGGCAGGTAGTCTTTTCTTTTGGATGGCATGCCCTCTCACCTTGGTTTCTCTTAAGGAGTTCCACATGGTGTCTAAGCAAGTAGTTTAACATTGTTTTTTTTCAAAATGCAGAAAACATACTAGGTTTATTGTTATAGTAAATTTTGCCATTAGTAGAATTGCTAATCAAGAACAAGGGGCTACTGGCAAGGGGTAAATAGAAATGAGTCAAGACCATGGCTTCACTTCTAAGAATATCAATGATCCATTCACTTCATGTTTTTAATTAGAAAAATCTAAACTCTTCTCATGAAGTTCTTAAAGGAAAACAAGAACATATGTATTTCTTTCTGTAGGTAGTGTGGTGGATATTATGATGGATTTAGATAGTGGATACATTATCTAAATTTTCCTATTTAATTTTTCCACTTTTTTGATATCAATAACCTCATTTGTCAGTAAATTCACTCTGAGAAAAATCAGAGTGGATATGGTTGCGAGCAGCTTTAATTCTTGGTAAGTTTTATCTAACAACCATATACGTTGTCTATTTAGACAGGATCATTTGGAATATTTTCTTTTGAATCTGATTGATACTTCAGCAACATTATGATATTTTAGTGCTTCTATTGCTTTACTTCATTGAATCCTTGTTTAAAAATTCTGTGCTAAAACAAAGGTTATAGCAGATTGGGCAAGTTCACAATTCAAATTTTGTGTGTTAATGCTGAGACTCACATCGTTACAAGGTCATGGACCTCTTTCAGCTGCATCCGTTTCTGAAGACTATCCAGTTTAACAATCCTACCGGAGACCAAGTGAATTTGGACCACAAAAGAAAACTTGATGCAAAGTATGACATTCTCAACTTTTGGAATTTTCCAGAAGGCCTTAAACTTAGGGTGAAAGTTGGAGAATTTTCCCCACATGTTCCACATGGTCAACAATTGTCTTTATCTGAAATGATAATAGAGTGGGCCACAGGGATTACAGAGGTATGTTGGAGCTCTTCATTACACATGCCATTCATTACACACAAATAAAATACTTTTGTATGTTTTGTGCCACTACCCTTGGGAAGAAAACTATGAGATATGGAAATTTGACATAATTCCAATGTGAAGAGATTTTTCTTATTTACTCAGTTTCTTTTTTTTTTTAGACAGAAGCACTTTATTTGCTGGTAGACAAAGCAGGCAAAATTGTTGAAGTAGGAGTGTAGGCAAAAACCTTCTCAATAGAACCTAGGCTAGAGACCATAGTCATAAGTGAAGTAAATCAGACCTGCATTTGTAAGCAACATATTGTCTCACTAGTGTAAGAACCTGAAAGAGTGAATAAAAATTAGGAGGTATGATAGACATTGTGAAACAAAAGCAAACTGCTCAAAAGTAAAGAGCAACTGCGATGAGGGAAAAGAGAAAAGAAAGAAGGGGAAAATTATGCATATATGTACATACAGGATAGCTAACATAGTTGTACTACTGACTTCTATCACTGTATTGAAAGGAACAGTTAATGATTAATTATTTGATCAAACTTACATGTCTATATTTGTTTTCCTGAGTAACCACTTTGAAGATATCCAGGTTTACTCAGTTTCTGATGAAAGGTAAAGAAATCAATTTACTTAACAAATTTACATGAACAATATGTTACTTAAAGAAATATATTTATCATTAAATAAATATGATATTCAATGAAATAATTAAATTTGTGCATTTATATAAATTAAGTTTATCACTTTAAGCATGGAAGATTAAGTAAACAACTAAGAATATGCCAAACCATATTGCTTTTCCTCAGACTCCTCAATCTGTATGCAGTGAGAGTTGTAAACCTGGCTTTAGGAAAACTCCTCAGGAGGGAAAACCCACCTGTTGTTTTGATTGCACCCACTGCCCAGAGAATGAGTTTACTAATGACACAGGTAAGAGACGTCTTATGGAGAAAATTCTCTACTTCTCTTTTTGGTTGTATCTAACCATGAAATGAAAAAAATCTTGAAGAGAAGAGCAAATAAAAAACTCTCTTCCTTTAGATATCAACTTAACTGTACTGTGTATTATTACATTTTGAACAAACACACTCTACCTTAAACCACACTTTTTGAATTAATTTTTGCTTTTCTGATGATTGAAGCCTGGGAAGAGATATGCTGAGAAACATCCTCAACTGTTATGGTTGATACATTGTGTCAACTTGGGGAGTCTAGAGGTTTGGCTAAGTGACTCAGCAGGAAGCCAGGGTGCTTACTTTGTATACATCCTGAGCCTGTGGAAGAGGAGGGCATGGAGATTATGTGAGAGCTACACTCCCCTTAGGTGGGGGTAGCCTGTTTACAATGTAAGGCAAGAAAGAAGCTGCTTGCCGCCATTCCTCGGGTTTGCTCTGGCTGTTTGCTGTTCGGCTGCCATTCCCCCTTTGCTCTTGTTGCTTTGCTATCTTCTGCCTCAGAGCCAGCCAAGTATGGAATGAAACCTCCACAAACTGTAAGCTAAATAAACCTTTCCTTCCTTCATTTTGGGCGTTGGGTATTTTGTCTCAGCAACGAGAGAAAAGTAACCAAGACACCAACTTTTTGTTATTTTGAGATAGTCTTACAAAGTTGCACAGGGAAGCCTCCAACTTGTAATTTTCTTGCCTCACTTTTCTGAGAAGTTGGAATTACAGTCATGTACTACAACATTTGGCTTCTTTCTTTATTTTTCTAGGCTCATTGAAAGTATTATGTTCTCAAGAAATCCCCTTTACTCTAGTCCACCATTTCTAAATCCAATCTCCATGATGAAGTTTAACACACACTATTATGCAATGTTAACCAATTCTTTGCCTTCTTAGGAACTACGTTTACATCACATTGAAGACAAAGGTCCAGCACATCCACACTTTACCAGTGCTTAACATTGGTATTAACATGCAGCAGGTACTCAGACAGGTTGTGTTTGGTAAGAAACAGGTATGCCTTTGTTGTACAGTATTATCATGGTACAGCATAACCTCAAGTGCTATTAGATATTTATACCTGATCTGGAAGTCATGAGGAATTAGGAGAGACAACATATGATGACATAAATTATAGTTAATGCCATAGATTTAAAATAGTACCACACACAAAGTCTACTGGATTTAATAAATAATGATAGCTACATTCTGGGAAGAGGGTCATATGCTTTTATCCACATGGCAGTTGCATCAATGTTATATTAGTATGATAACAGATGTAATGAATTCTAGTTTAAATTAGAAGTGAAAAAAGGAAAATATCACACCTTGTGAAAAACAAACAACTAACATAAAGATTGTGGATGCCAGGCATGGTGGTTCATGTCTTTAATCCCAGCACTCAGGAGGTTGAGGCAGGAGGATTTTTGTGAGTTCAAGACCAGCCTGTGCTACAAAGTGAGCTCAAGGCCAGCCTGAACTGCCTAGTGAGACCCTGTCTCAAAAAGACCAAAAAAAAGATTGCTGTTATGTGAAAAAACAAACAACAGGGGGATAAAGTTTGACACATAATGGAGATAAGTACAGAAACAATATAGAAAGATTTTGAATACAATTATAACTTTAAAGATATGAAAGTATGATAATAACTTAAAGTTGTGATAACAATATATCTTAGATTTATGATAATAAGTCATGACACAGTGGAATCAGTTCATTACTAGAAGTTTTCTGATTTATTTTTGTGACTGATATGACGTTTAATTTCACAATGTATTTAGCATGCTTTTCATTTGTTTTGGTATGTAATGTACCATGGAGTTAATTTTGATATATTGTATATATTTTATGTAGGTTAGAGATATGACACTTTCATGTATAGGTTTTATGTGCACATACAGAAAGAAATGCACTCACAACACCAATTACAACAATTTTAAGGTATAAGAAATATAATCCTCAACAACCAGCAGTTAATAAAATATAAAAAATAAAGTGTCTATAATTTAAATATTAGTATTAAATCTCGTGGGCTGAAGCTAAAACTGTGTTGAGAGACAAATATATATACTACCTACAGTTATAGGCAATTATGTACATTTAAATGAAAAGCTGAAGTTTTGCATGTAAAGTGTTCATTACACACTAGCAAAGGAAAAACAAAATGAACACATAGTAACTAAAAGACAGGAAAAATGTAACAAGAAATCTTAAGAAGATATATACATGGGCAAAGTAAAAAAAAAAAAAAAACTAAAATTGATTCTACTAAAAAAACTACTGATATACTCAAATACAGTACATTTTACCAGGAAGAAAAAAAAGCCAAAATGATAAAGCATGAATGAAAGTGGTCATTTTTACAGGAAGAAAAAATGTTTTATGTGAAAAAATGGTAGGAATAAGTTACATTGATCTGTTAAAATTTACTTGAAATTTACAAATTCACAGAAAAGAGCAAAACAATACTAAGAATTAAAAATATCCATATTACCTTGGTTATTATCAAAATCATGGTCACCATTTGATCTTTTTCCCCAATTTTCATTGTAATTAATGTGAAAACTCAGTTTGTATTATGAAAACTGCTACATTTTGGTATTGATAGCTGACAATGTCATTATAAGAAATAAATTTTACATGATGCATTCCTTCTCAAAATAAACTCACATACATTATTGTAAATTTATATATATTAGGGAGGTTATCTCATAACCATATCTGGTATATAAACAAAATTCAATGCATTAGTTTGTGGAAAATAGATACAATTTATATACATAAATAAAAATACAAAATTGAATGTTTCCATAATTTAGAAATAATTATAAAAGTCTCACTAAATTAGGAGTAGGAGAAAACTGTCATAAACCACATTTACAGAATCCTGAAGCAAACATAATTTTTGATTCAATGTTGAAAGCAAGAATAAGATAAAAATTTTCCAAGGGACTACTTTCACCAGATATTACACAGGAAGTCATGGCTCAAAAGAGCAAAATTTTAATGGAAATGAAGCAATGTGATGGGAATTATTTTCCGATGGTAGTTGCGTATAAGTTTGCAAGTAGCCAAGAATGGCGGCACACTGCTATAGTCTCAGTGTTCTGGAAGGTAAACCAGGACAATCAAAAGTTTGAGCCCAAACTGAGGAACTTAGTGATTTAGTAAGACTCTGTCTAAAAATTAAAAACAATACATAAACTTTGGAATGCAGCCAACTACTACTGTAAAGGCCCTGGGTTCAATCTTCATCAATGAAAAAATCTTTAAGTAAATTAATGAATTAACAATTTAGTAAACTGATAACTAAATACTAAACTATATAAAAACAAACCCTATCATTACATTGCACTCAAATGATATGGTAGAAGTTTTGATAATTGATATTTAATACAGATAATTGACATTTAATATGTTAAAACGCCTAGTGATAAATTCTGTAAGGTTTGTGAAAAATAACGATAAATTATGTTCAGGGTTTGAAAGACTCCATGATGGAAAGATGTTAGAACTTTCGGATTTTATCTACTGATACAGTGCAAGTGTAATCCAAATTCTGTGTTTGTGGTGAAAGCTATAATCTTTTATAGGGTAGGAGAACATGATATACCTGACATAAAGTACTACTAGCCATATTGATTTCCCTAGATATTAACAAATTATATTAGGTTTGTCAATAATTATTTGAATGAACACAAACGGTATAATTTACAAAGGTTTATACAGAAAGGGCTTTAAATGTTTTGTGAAAATAGATAAATGTTCTTATGTATATGCCCATGAATAAAGAAACTAAACACTGTTATTCACTGCACCATAAATAAGAAGGGCGTTTACTAGGAATCTGTCTTTTCATTACATTATTTTACTTGCATCTAGAAAGATAAAAGAGGAAATTGGGTTCAAGTAGTCTAATGAGCTTTGGATGGGTGGCTACCAAAATGAAGAAACATTAAACTTGGACTGATACAATTTAAATTTCTTACTAGAGGGGGCTGGGGATTTAGCTCAGCGGCAAAAGCGCCTGCCTGGCAAGCGCAAGGTCGTGAGTTCGGTCCCCGGTACCAGAGAAAAACCAAAACCCAAAAAACAAAAAAACAAAAAAATAAATTTCTTACTAGATATGGAACAGTGCGTGAAGTGTCAAGATCACCAATATGCCAACTCTCAGCAAAGCCACTGCCTCCCCAAATCTGTAACTTTTCTGGCTTATGAAGACCCCTTGGGAAAGGTTCTGACTGGCACAGCCTTGAGCTTTGTTATTCTGACAGGTGTTGTTCTTGGAGTCTTTATAAAGCACAGGCACACTCCCATAGTTAAAGCCAATAATGAGGCTCTCAGTTACATCCCGCTCACCTCTCTCATCTCCTGTTTTCTCTGCTCCTTACTTTTCATTGGGCATCCCAACACGGCCACCTGCATTCTCCGTCAAACTACCTTTGGAGTTGTGTTTACTGTGGCTGTTTCTACTGTCTTGGCCAAAACTGTCACGGTGGTTCTGGCTTTTAAGATCACCAGTCCAGGCAGAAGGATGAGGCAATTGCTGATATCAGGGGCACCTAACTGCATCATCCCCATCTGCTCTCTGATCCAATTCATTCTCTGTGGAATCTGGATGGCAACAAATCCACCTTTCATTGACACGGATGCACACTCTGAGCAGGGCCACATAATTGTGTGCAACAAGGGCTCCCTAACTGCCTTCTACTGTGTCCTTGGATACCTGGGCTCTCTGGCCTTAGCAAGCTTCACTGTGGCTTTCCTAGCCAGGAACTTGCCTGACACATTCAATGAAGCCAAATACCTGACATTCAGCATGCTAGTGTTCTGCATTGTGTGGGCCACCTTCCTCCCCGTCTACCACAGCACCAAGGGGAAGGTCATGGTGGCCATGGAGGTCTTCTCCATCTTGGCCTCCAGTGCAGGGATGCTGTGCTGTATCTTTGCCCCTAAGTGCTACATCATTTTGTTAAGGCCAAATAGAAGTTATCTGTGTAAGTTCAGAGATAAAACACATTCTTGGAGAAAGATTCATTCTTGAGTTAAAATATGCTTTCTCTAAAATGCACAGTATTCTGAGGCAATCTCATACTGTTTTTTACAACAGATATTGGACTATAGTGCTAGATTTACTTCACTGACATATGATTGTTAATTTTTCCTTTAATAATCTTACCGTTATTACTACCAGAAATAATCTCTTTTTTAAAAATTTGAATTGCATTTTAATATTTTTTATTCAACTAAACCTGCAATCAAGCTTATAATTTGTGCTTAATTTTGATTATATTATTCAATTTTATCTTGCCTTCCCTTGGAATTTCTCTGTTACTTTAACTGTTAGTAAACAAAATTTTACCTATAGATTCTTAATAATTCTTAATTTCCTAATTATTTTAGCATATTTCTTTCTTCTTCAAATATTACCATTCCTTTAATATGCTGATAATACTATGTTTTCATAACAGTATTTTTCTCACCTTTGCCTTTTGATATATTCCTGAGGCTATATTTGGATAATTTCTTTCACATATGGCCTTTGGAGATTTAGAACTGGCTGGTAATGTGCTATATCATATGCTCTTTAATTTAAGATGACAAAATGTTGAATTTATATGTCAGTTTGAAGGAGTACTATTTAGTATGCAGCAGTAATTCTTCCTATCCATGATTGGATACACCTTTCCATTTATCTTTGTCTAATCATCTTTAATTAATATGAGAAATATATTTGTATATCTATATGTTGTTTGTACATGTTAAGTATATGTGTAAGCAGTATATGCAATAGTTGTTGTCATGTTCCTCTCTGGATTTTTTTGTAGTAGGTAATGTTTGCAGGGGGAACAGTCCTCTATACCCTATTGGAATAACTCTTTTGGAGTTAACCTCTGTTTATCTGCCTGTTGTATTATCACTACTTGTTAAAGTTGTGTATAAAACTATTGAACAAGGTTATTCATCCTTGTGGCTTGACAGCACTTAATGAGGCTGGTAAGGTTGCCTATAAAATGTGATGCCATGACTAGGGGTATAACTAAGTGGCGTGGCGCCTGCCTGGCAAGGTCAAGGTCCAGAGTTCAATTCCTTGTACCAAAAAAATGTGATGCCAGAAGAGTACACATGATTTTCCCTCAGATGCTTGTCTTTGATCCTCTTTCTGGTTTTTAACGTAGAGCCACAGAAAAACCAAATTTATATGCAGGCTGATCCAGCTTTCATAGCACAGCTGCCCATCAGCTGCGTCACTCTTTAAGTAATCACTAATGAAGTTACTTACTTGGCACACTGGAAATGTTTGACCATTAGAGTTTTTTTGTTGTCATTTTGTCGTTTTTTTTGGTACCTGGAATTGAACTCAGGGCCTTGTGCATGGCCATTAGTTTCATCCCAACACCAAAGCAGAATTTTATTAATGTTTCTTTGAGAAATCAACATAATATTGGTACCCAAAGACCCAAAAGTGAATCAGGGTGGATCATTCCCAGAGGAAATCCTGATTTGGCCATCTTCTATGTGTACATGAGTGGACCTCTTTAATGTGAGCTCCATAAGTGAGTGCAGAGATGCCCCCAACACTTCTTACCAACTAGAAAGTATGCTGTAATTAGTGACAATAATACATGTGGTAGCATTGCAGGAGAGCTTTGACTAGTGCTATAGGCAGTAAGATGCTACTGAAATATGTGTCCAGGAGGAAATACGGAGATGGATGACTATTATGGATGTCTAGGGACCCCTGTGTGACTACACAGATATCCTAAAAGTGACTTAAAGTTTAGAAGAAATATTTTTATGTTAATCTTCAAAATTCCTATAGGGTAGGTCTTCCTCATCACAGCAGCAAGAGAAAAGAGCTCCAAGCCCAAACCTGTACCAGGCAATAACATGAGAAAGAAAACTGAAATAAACTTATCAAAATGCCAGTGTTGGACACAGCCAGGGAGGTGGAGATAGCAGTGTCTAGGCCACCAGAAGGCACTTTGGAGTCCAAGCCCAAGAAGATAGGGGAAAGCAGGTCAGGCAATGAGGCTGAATTTAATTTAGAAGGCACAGCTATTGTACTTTGCACAGACTGAACTAGGTACTGGCAATTTATGACACTGGGGTTGGATCCTGTGTTGGGATATCAAAGGAAGAGGATCAGACCATCACGGCAGCCAATAAGGAGTCAGTGAGATGCTATTGTGACAAATCCTGGCTGATGGTAAATTTATTTTGCAATCTATGTTTTAAATTGATATTTCAGTCTAACTAGTATGCCTAAACATTTCTTATAAATAACTTGGAGACACTTCTTAAGCAGTAATTACAGGATTAACTGTCTCTTCTGCTACTTTGTACCTATACTAAAATAATTTTACCATTCAAAGTTTTGTGAAGGAGTGAAGCTTTCTCAGTCCATGGTGGAAATAATATCTGTGAGACAACAAAACAGCAAAGACACTGGAAAACCATACAAAAGAAAGAACCAGTGATTTGGGAAGATTATTTAAAAAGTTATGAGGATTTATAGTTTGATAACCAAGGATTTTGTATTGTAAGTGTTTGCCCTACAAGAATGGAAAAAGAAAAGTGAGAACAAAACCAGAAAGTGTGGGCAGTAGTCAGAAAAGTTTTATGATGGATGATGTTTTGAAGAAAATTATTGACTACTTTGAATAAGACTGTTATGATCTAGTCTAATGTTTTGAAGTGTTAGCCATCACCTACATGAAGAGATCAGATTAAATTTAACCATAAACTCCAGGTAAATTTAGCCTCATAGCTACTTCTAAACTTTCTTGTTGCTTAACTGGGATGTTTTATTATCAAAAACTTCCCTTTCCTTCAAACACTTCCTTTCAACATGACATCAGATGAGACTATTGGCTTGAAGAGCATTCCTACAATGAGGGAAAATGAAAACTTAGCCACAGCATGACTGACACTGCTGCCTTTAGAAAACTCTCACAAGGGTGAAAGAAGATGCAAGGACAGCACGAGAATTTTCAAAATCACAATGAAGTTACTTCTGTCAACCCTACCAAAAATAAAGCCAAGATGTTGTGAAGAAATTATTCTTATGTAGAAATGCTTGATTATAACTATCCCAAAGCCTTTGCCAAAATCATGTTTGTCTTTATTGTTTGAATCTCTTTCAGCAGATATACTATTGGAAAATCCAACTTTTGAATTGTTTACATGTTAAGATCAAACTTATACTAGGTGTGGGAAGCCTTTCCTACAGGCTAGGAGTACATTTATTATACCTCTTACACACAAAAGAAATCATACTACAGGTGAACAAGCTATTGGGGCATATACTGCATTCCACATAGAATTCTGCCTGATAGTATAAATGGTAAAGAAAATGATATTTGGCCAGGGAAAATGGGAGCCAGTCAAGCTAACTGTTCCTTGCAGGACAGTTAATACCAAACAGTGTAGTCCACAAAGTGAGTATGAAGAAATCATGACTAATATCTGTTATAAAATGAGAGAAATTATCTACCCACCTTGTAGTCCTTTGAACAATCTGCCATGGCCAGTAAATAAGCTAGAGGGCTCATTATAAATGACTGTGTATTATAGAGCACTAAGTAAAGCACCGTGGCATCTCTCATTTATGCCACTGTACAATACATTGCTCTCCTAACTGAGCAACTAATGCAAAACATGAGATCTCTTCATGCCGAGTGACTCTCAGCAAGCATTCTGCCTCTTAGAACCTCTGTTTTCCTAAGTGTTATATAGGAACCACTATAAGTATGCTTCCAAATTCCGAAGATTAAATAAGACTTCAGCATAAAAAATTTTTAGACAATGCTTAATAAAGAATGGAGTAGTGTTGTTACTGAGTTGAAAAGAGGGAGCTGCAGACATCTTCTGTGTTCCAGTACCATGACCATTCTCATGTGACAGAAGGAATGCCTCAGGAGGCTGAGGCAGGAGGATCATTGCAAGTTCAAAGCTAACCTGGGCTACAAAGTGAGTTCAAGACTAGCCTGAACTGCATAGTGAGACTCTGTCTCAAAAAGACAAAAAAAAAAAAGAAGAAAGAAAGAACTGATGTCTGAGCCTGCCCCAAAGATACCACTCCACTGCCCTATGCAGCTACTGCAGATTTTTCACTGGTGTATTTAGTGTAACTTACTAAAAATCACAAAGCACATTGTATTTTTTCTTTTGTGCTATTTAAAGCTAATGAGGTAGAAAGTGAGATATCTGCAAAGACACGAACTAAAACGCATGATGAGTTGGAGAACATATAGATCAAAAAACATTGCCTTGGTCAGTCCTGTGCCCAGGGAATTTATAGCCCTGTGGACTCAGAATGCAGATGTAGCCTTCCACCTTCAGAAGGAACTGGTCAAGGAACAATTAGAAGATTTGGTGGTGCAGGAAGAATGTGTCTGGGCTGAGCCTGGTACAGGTAACAGGCCCACAGAGGTGAGATTTGTGGAAAGACATTATAAGTCTTTGGGTGCCTCAATTTCCTCAGTTGGAAAATGGCAAAAATGAGATATAAGATGGTCAGGTTGTGGGAAGTTTAAACAAACCGATGCACGTGGCAGGCTCAGCCCACACCTTGTAAGGAGTCAGTAAACAGTAACTCTGATTAGATGAGTTATTCTACCAAAAATAAATGCATTATGTCTACCAAGCTGCAGATGCAATTTACTTTCTTAGGAGATTTCCTCAGTTCCTGTTCTTCTGAGGCAGAGTAGCACATAAATCCTCACTTGGCATTGACTCAAATTATCATGAACTGTCCACTAGGTTGTTTATCTGTGAATGAACAAGGGACTGTGCATGTAAAAATGTGTGTCTGTGTGTGTGTGCGTGTGTGTGAGTGAGTGAGGTGGCGGGGACAAAGACAGAGAGACAGAGATGCAAAGACTGCCTTGCTATAACAGGCATGAAGCTGGAAAGAGGAATTGAAACAAAAGGGTCATATCAAAGAGAACTGTCAGGAGAACTAAAACACAGAGTGAGTGAACCGCTGTTTGAAAACATGCAAATACTAAAAAGTACTTTGTTACCGCTATTTTAGCTAAAATGGGGCAAATGATAGACCTTGTATTTGAGC